TGCTCGATGATGAGAAAAATCAAGAAACAAATCGTAGCTTCTACGCAGAAGATAGAAGATTCGAATGCGATTGGTTAATGTTTAAAGCTTTTGATATTTTGTTGTTAAAAAAAGTAGAGGGTAGGCGGAGAATGGGCAATCGTATTCAAATTAACCACGTTATTCGTTGAAAAAAAAAAAAAAAAGAAGTACGCCATCCGATCCATATTACTCTCACTTTTCATTTGCTACGATATCTAAGAAGAAAATTTTGCTAATTCACGTCTTAAAATTTTTCTTCAGAATTTTGTAAATGGACACTTCAGAAAAGAATTAATTGCAAGGGTAACATTAAAAAAAAAAATTAATTAATATTTTTTTGATTTAATAAGATTCACAACTAATAATCTCTCTGTCCAACAATATTTGTACACTGTTGACTTGATAAATATGTTAAATTTAATGTTTTAAGAAATATATTAGATATTGAATAATATTTAATAGGAAGAGTAAAACAGACTCAAAATGGTAGATAAATGGTAATTTATCTGTTAGTTTTTAAACATATTGTTAGATAACTATTTTTAGTATAATGAACAAGTAAAATTGTACGAAAGAAATATGTGATAACTATTTTTAATATAATCAACCAATATGGAACGAAACTGTGGGGCTAAAGGACGTCTAGCCAACCGCAGAAGCAACAGAGACAAATTAATTGCTGATCACATGGAACATGAGGAGCAACAGAAATGATTGAACTCGAAAGTTCTAAGAAAATGTAGATTATATAATTAAGGGTAAGGACTAAGGAGTGGCCAAATTAAACCATGTAAATATGAGGAAATCTCATTATTAGGTATAGGTTGGATTATAATTATTATATTAGTAGCTATATTTTTCTAATTATAATTTATAGGGACTGTTTTTGAGTTGTATTTATTGTTTAAATTCATCGTATGTGTTCTATCGTTTTCGTTGTATCTGATCGATTAATTTTGATATGTTTGTTTGCTTAATTTAGTATATATATATATGCATCAACACTTTGTCAATGTTGTTGAATACACTAATTTTAGGGCTAGTCGCTTTGCATTATTGTATTTTTAATTCTTGTTTTTGAATATATACACCATGTATATATATTGTATCGTCATAAATTTAGATTTTGATCCTAGATATAAATCAGATAAACTCCAAATACAATTTAATTACAATTTTGAAAATTACTAGATTTTTAGATACGATCATAACTTGGAAAATCATTAAATTCTTAGATATAACTCAAAATTACCAATATAAAATCGTAGAAAATATAATTATGTTTACCTATAAAGAAGATTTAGAGAAAATAAATGTAGTGCAGATTCACCTAATGACGTTTCATGATGATATTTAACCTGCAACAATATTCATTTCTTACTTAAATAGAAATGTGACAGTCTCAATCTAGCAGTGTGAGAACATGACTTTTCTCGTGGATTCATGAAATTTTGTTTTGTTTTTACACGAAATGGTTTTTTCTTTGCTTGTAGCGCCTCAAATCGAGTATTTGTTGTAAAATTGAATGAGGTGACGAAATCTAAAATAATTTTTTTGCTATGCTTCACAGATATCCGTACAATTCTTATGAATTTTAAGTGTGTTTGAATTCCACATCTTATTAGATATTTATTGAAGGATTGTCTACCTTCTCAAACCTCTCTATCATGGCCTTAGAAAGTGACGGTGGATGACTTGCATTATTAAATGAAATTTTTTCAAATTAAATGATAGTTGTTCCCTGCCCTGTTTTTTGGTATTAAATTAATGAAGGTAGGTCCTGTATGATACATTTGTGGGTTGCATAGAAAATTGAGATTGAGAAATCCAGAGAGAGGGGGAAGAGATGATAAAAAAAAACATAATAAATAAGCATATTTTTTAATTTAGATTTATTTGATATATATGTCTTTCAATTTTGAGTGTGTATAAGTAGCCACTTAAACCTATATTAAATTGAACAAGTAGACACACACGACCTACTTGATGCCTTATGTGACAATTTGTATCTAACACGATATTCTACATGATGTCCTACATGTATTATGACAAGTAGATGTGTGTATCCAGTTGTTCAACTTTATACTAATTTAAGTGTCTACTTGTACACATCAAAAATTGAAAGACATATATATCTTAAGATCAAATTAAAAAACATATTTATATATTAGCCATAGATGAAAGAGGAAAAGGGCGAAGGGAGATTGCCAATAAGGGAAGTGAAAGAGAAAATGAAGAAAGGATTTTAGAATTACATTTTAGGAATTGTTGTAAAATTTAAAGTGTAGCTATGTTTGTTGGGGGATGAAATTATTAGGGACTTTTGAGACTTTTATTTATTTTAGATGAAAATTCTAGATGAAAAGAAGGGGGGAAATATAGAAGAAAAAGAATTTTTGTTGCCCGTACATATTATACACTATTATATATGCCGATTTTGTTGAAAAATATTTATACAATATTGATATATATGCCCATTTTATTGAAAATAATTTTTATTACCTGTACATATTAGTAAGTAACCCCTCTTTTTTTGTGGTATAGTGGGAAAGACTAATAAGTAATACTCCCTCCGTCCCATTTTATGTGGCAACATTTGACCGGGCACGGAGTTTAAGAAATAAATGAAGACTTTGAAATGTTTACCAAATTGCCCTTTAAAAAGTACACTCACTTTTCTCTCTCCTCATAAATGTATTGGAATATTATTTTAAGATTATGTGGGACCAACAAGGGTAAAAGAGGAATTGCACCTTTAAATACTTACCATATAAGGAAAGTGACATTCTTTTTGGGACTGACCAAAAAGGAAATGTTGCCACATAAAATGGGACGGAGGGAGTACTTCTTAAATCTAACAGGCGTAAAAATTTCATTTCTTTGACTGCATTTTCCATACCAGCAAATCTTATTCATGTCTGCGACCTTTAATGATTAATCACAGTCACTAAAAAAAAACAGGGTTATTGCGACGGTTATTTATGCGGCGGTTTCAAACCACAATGTACTATAACTGTGAAAATGTCGTAATCCCATCTGTCACAAACGTATTATTGTTACGAAATCGTCGTAATATTTACACAAAACCGCCGTTATACATATATAAAACCATCGCAATATTCCTTTTTAAATGCGACATTTTTTTTTGGATAAAGCGATTGTTTACACCCGTCGTAATTGTGTCATTCATATATAACGGTTAAAAAATGTCGTAATGTTCAATTCTGATGCCGTAATAATTATATTTTCTAATTTTGTCAATCCATACTTATATCCTATTTATTGCACCCTATATATTTAAATTTCTACGGTTAGTAATTTTAACACAACATAAAAGATCAGATGAGCAAAATATTCATCACATTAAACAAAAGTACTCCAGAATTACATCATCAAAATACTACTACTGTTTTGAAGTGTTAATCAAAGCTCCAAAATTACATCATCAAAATAGTAATTTCAAGTGTCATTCAACTAGAATATCCAAAAAAAAGGTCCTAAAAATGATTCCTAGTTGATGCTTAGTCCATCATCCAAAGATTTCTAATCGATGGTTGGTCCGATGGGTAACTGATGAGCCCCACTTTCTGTATCGGATGCCTGAATTTTTTTTTATTAATTAACAAGCAAGTTGATGATCATACTCCAAAATATATGTATTCGCACAGAAGTATCAATGAACTTGGAAAAAAATTCTCTTGTAATAAGTACACTTCTCACCTAAAAGATTTTCAAATACCATTTTTGTAATCACCAATTATTCCAGAAAGAAATTTCCAAAAACTTTCTTTAAAATTGAATTCTTTTAAGTCAATATTAACACAAGAGTACATATAAAACATAAGTTACTTGGTTCTATTCATCGGTCAAGTAACTTATCAATGACAGCCTAGACACGACTATTTACCGGTGAGTAAGGAAGGAATGCCACCATGGCTGGAAAGTGGTATTAAATTAGGTCTTGTAACTCACACCCCAAAAGCTAGCTCAAAGGGAGGAGGATTGTCCAAACCTTATAAGGAGTCCACCCATCTCATTAACCACCGATGTGGGACTTTTGTCATTCTTTAACAAGTGGAAACCAGGATAGCATACAACTACGATGCCTCAATACAAATTATTAATTGCTATAAACTGCCCATCAAAATGCTGCCTAATTCATATTCTCGACGAATTATTCTCAGTTGAGTAATCAACTAGGCTCAGATATGTCACAAAATCGGGTAATGAAAAGGGACACCGCCATAGCTGCAAACCAGAATAGCATACAACATCAACAACAACAATCTATAGTTGGATAAACTAAATGAATCCTTAACATCCCTTCCACTCAATTAGGACCTATTTCGTCCCAATACTCGTCACACCACTTACAACACAATTTAGTTTTCCCTACCAAGATTCGGTTCGAGCTGACCAAAATCTGATTAACTCAATAAGCTCTATATCATCACAGCCTACAGATAAGCATAAGCAATGATGCTTACTGCCAACAAAGTTAATATTGACTTAAAAGAATTATCTAAACATCAAAAAAAGGCACTGCAAAGCAAATTGGACTTTATGAAGAGTACACTACAAAACATAAATAAATTCCTAGCAAAATAAAAATAATCATAGCCCAAACAGAACTTAAGAGTACATAAAGATAGAGTTAGACTCTTAGATATATTCTTAAGAAAGAGTACATATAAAACATAGATATTTATGATGGTCATACCTGTGGAGGAGGTGGAAATAAGTGAGGGGACATTCCCTATGTTCTTTTGATATAAGCTAAGTAGCGCGCATTCAATTGTGATTTCATACTCGTCATCTATTGCTGCCACTTTGGAGGTGGAGCGCTAGCGCTAGATGAACTCACATCAACATGCTTAAATCTCCTAGATGTCTGTTTGAATGCCACAGTTGGAACAACACCCAAGCCTAACCCTCGAACACGGCCCGGTTGTTCGGGACCGAGTACTATACCAAGTACATTATTTGGTGAAACTTCGTACTTTCTGGCCTTTGACGACAAATTTCTTCAATTTTCTCCTGTGCAAAAGAAAAACAAGCATAATACTGTTGTCATATACCAGTTGACGACTCTATGAACCACACATTCATTGAATGATGTATCACTGATTTTATCTAAGCTGTCAGGAATTAAGACACTTAATATCTCACATATGCTGATATCTTTATCCTCTCTAGAATCTACTCGTGTTGCGATCTATGGCATAACATGTTAAGATTCTGTAGGCTTTTAAAAATATTTGGAAATAAGCAATAAAGTAGCATATTTACAAGGATAAGGAAAAGTTAGAAAATTAACAATTAAAATTGACATGTGTGAAGTGTGATCACTTAACTTAAATGGATCTTCTAGTTTTGCTAATTAGGAGCAATTAACTGAAATCTGAAATAACATAGAGTATATATTATCATAGAACTGTACATGCAAAGCTAGATGCAGATTACTACTATTATATTACATTTATAGCTAGATGCAAAGCTAGTGATTCCACGTAACTAGTTGTTGGTTATGGATTTTCACAACCATAACCAACAACTTGTAGGAGTGTGCAATGAGGATCAGCTCCAAGAAACTGAATTAAACTAGTAGTGTCCTTCATTCACGAAAATTTTAATGAACAGAGAAATTGTCCTGTGAAGTGAAAGTAGCGACAAGTGTGTCATCTATTTATAAACTAGTAGATTACGAAGTGCCTATAAATTGTAAATGAAAATTTACCTCACATTATTGCTTGCCGCTCATGGGATTTGGCTTGAATCACCACAGCAACGTTCTAGTATGACATTGGAACTACTAACCTATAAGGAAAAAAAAACATAAAATTCATGATTAAAACATATCAAGATATACCATACTTGAAGAATTAGAAGAAGAACAATTCGGTTCAAGTGGACAAGCAAAATGCTGAAAGCATAGCACATATGCAATTGATTGATAAATTTTGCATTTCTTAATGTCAAAATAATTGCAGGAAAAAGTATTATATTACATACAGAACTTCTTTGCAGGAACTTGTGCAAAATAATGTTTAAAAAATCTACTCAGAAAGTGAAAGAGAAATAGAGACTTACTTAAGTTCTGAACTATTGTCCCACCTAGGTCAATTATGGGAATATGGGAAATGTTGGACCACTGGGAGTTCGAGCCACTCCGATTCATGCAACTTTCTTCTAACTGTGGGCAGGCACTAATTTGCAGGTTCCATAATTTAGTGAGGAGTTGCATGGCATCTCTGGATGGCAGATGCTCCAGTTTTTTGCAGTTCCATAAACGTATCTCTTGCAAAGAAACAAGGTTGCCGAGCCCATCCGACAGAGCTTCTAACAATGGACAATCACGGATCTCCAGATACCGTAATTTGGGCATGGCATCTGAGAAGTCCACATGTTGTAGCCATTTGCATCTCACCAGATATAATGTTACAAGAGAAGTAAGGTTGCCAAGTCTATGAGGAAGAGCCTCGATTCCGAAATCATGTATTCCGATCTCTGTTAGGGCAGAGAGTTGCATAAGCTGATGGGGCAGAGAATCCCAATCCGTACGTCCGTATACCTCCAATGTACGAAGGGACGATAGCTGCTGAATGCCATTAAAAATCAATTGGAATGCCTCAAAATCCACCATCTCTGAGAAAGGACCAATTTTCAATGTCCTTAACCCGGTGAGACAGTGAAGGCCCCCTGCGGGTACACTAATCAATTTGGGACAATCTGATAAACCCAAATAGGAAAGTGAAGGCATTTCCCACACGTGTAAAGGCAATGAAACTAAGTTGTTACAATTGCGGACATTAAAATCTTCCAGAGACCGACAATGCTCTAGCATTCCACTTGGTAAGCTGGTCAATCCATAACAATCGAATAAAACCAAACTTTGGAGGTTAGTCAAATAGTTCTCTCCACAGGGAACAGGAAAAGAACTGAAATTGGCGCAGCAGGATATTCGTAATCTCTTAAGAGAATGGACATTGTACAAGCTTCGTGGCAATTCACGAAACTCTCCGCAGTATGAGACTGATAGGTATTGAAGAGAAACGTTGTTGCGTAGCATCTCATCTGGAAGACAAGTGAGCTCTTTCACATTACAAACATCAAGATTCACAAGAGATGTCAAGTTGCTGCACAAGTTCAACAGTGGCATTTCACTGTCAACTCCTTCAATACTTAATTCACGCAGGATTTCAAATTGACTTAGAGTACTTTTTAACAATGGACATACACTAATGCTCAACTTCTCAAGCCTAGGAAACATTCTTACTCCAACTTCATCGCCCTTCCACTCAATAAGGCTACACATATCCTCCAATACTAGTTTTCTCAGTGACGGGAACACTTGGATAATGCTGCTTGATCCATTATTGCTAATCTCAACACCATATAAATCAGGTCCAATGCATTCCAACTCATGGAATCCTACCAGCTCAAGATGCTGAAGGAATTTCAGTTGGCCAAGGGATGGAATTTCTTTGCACCTTTTGCAACCACTTAATTTCAACTTGACCAAATTTGGTAGCAACTCTTCACTGAACCATGAAGGAAATTTAGTCCCTAAATAGTCCACTACTGATAAGGCTTTCAAGTTAGGATGCGGTTGAAGACCATCCAACACATGCTCATCATTGATCTCACAGCCTTCTGATTCATCATGGGACCACAAATATGCCAGCTTGTAGATATTTGGTTTCTCCTGTAAATATGCTGTTTGAGCCTCTTCTTTATTTCCAACTAATTGGAGATGTTTGATCTTCAATTCACCTCTAAGGTTTTTCAAACGACCTAATTCTTCTATCCGATGACCTTTCTCTGAACCTACGTAGAAAAACTGTAGCGTCTGAAGACTAGTCAATTGCCCCATATTAAGTGGCGTCTGCATATCTGATCCATAACGATCGTACCAACATATGTGTCTCAAACTTATCATATTTGCCATTTCTTCTGGAAGCTTCCTGAGTGAACGACAGTCATTGACTCTAAATGTTTGCAAATTGTAGAGCTTGCAAATGGAGTTGGGCAAGGCTACGATCTTAGTGTTGGAGAGATCAAGATATCTCAAGTATATTAGCTTGCCGATTGAGGCTGACAACTCCTTGATGCCTGATCCGGACAAATTTAAAACTCTCAAGAACTGAAAGCTCAATAGCACATCATCAGATATATTGCTTTTCCAGAACAATGTGCACAAAAGTCCTGGCTCGTTTATCTTATCTATCTGATCAGTTGGTGAGTCCCATCCAAAGTATCGAACTTGAGAAAGATTTTTACCTCCAACACTTTCCGTATCAAATAGTTTAGATTTTAATGTATCTCCAGCCAAATCGTGCACAAGATCATGCATCTTACATCGTGTTGTATTGTTGTGCTCATCTAGCTCAACATCTTGCAGCAAGGAATATTGCAACAGTATTTGAAAAAACTTGTTCCCGACGTCTTCCATAACAGGAATCTCTTGACTTGGACGAAGAAACCCTTCTGCCATCCAGAGTTGGATTAGTTTGTCCTTTTCAAACTTAAAATCTTTTGGAAACATTGCAAAGTAAGCAAAACATTTTTTTAGATATGGAGATGGTAGATTAACATAGCTGAGTTTTAGGATTTTCTTCAAGCTATTTTCATCTGCAACAAGGGGGTTTCCATCAAGAATTGCCCACCATTCATGTTTCTCCTTGTTGCGGAAGAGACCTCCCAAAACACTTGCTGCCAACGGTAGACCTTGACACATTTCAGCAATCCTGTTCTCCACACTTAGTATATCCTCCGGAACTTCCCCATCAACAAATGCTCTTTTTTTGAAAATTGACCAACAGTGATCTTTTTCTAATTTTTCCAACATATGAGGACCTACTGCTGCTACTGTGGATGCCACCAGTTTCATACGAGTCGTCACAAGAATGCAGTTTCCTCTGGAAGTGTTTATTCCTCTCAAGCTGTCCATGAACTCATCCCACACTGGAAGGTCAACATGCCACAAATCATCTAAGACAAGCAAATATCTTTTTCCTCCTAGTTCATCTCGGAGTTTCTTGACTATAATGTCCCTGGTTTGGACCTCAAGTTTCCGCTCTGTCAATGATTGCAGGATCTGTTCAAGAAAGCTCTTAGTGTCTGACATTTCAGGTAGACACAACCAAACTCTCTTTTCAAAGTGCTTTCCGATCTCTTCATCATTGAAAATTCTCTTAGCAATAGTAGTTTTCCCTAAACCCCCCATTCCCACTATGGGAATGGCACACAGAACAACTTCCTCTCTCATGTTCAACATCTTCTCCTTTATTTCAGCAACATCTTTGTCTCTACCAACAACATCCGAAGCAACTCCTAAGGAATCTGTTTCTCTGATTTGTAGTATTTTGCGAGAAGGAACAGTCAGTGATTGGAGACCGAGGTCATTGGCTAACTGATTGATAGCCCTCAACTCTTCATTGATGTTGTTGATTTTTCGAGACATTTTGTACTTAAAAGCAGTATTAGAAAAGAAGCTATGGACTTTTTCCAGTAGTTTGGCTCGGTTTTTTCATCACTTGTGCTTTGAGAGATTCATATGTGAATTTGTCAAACACATTTTCAGCATCTTCAGCAACTCTCTCAAGCATCTTGAGCCATTCTTCCACAGCCTGATCTTCGACTTGTCGTCTTTCAGCATCATGAATGAAAGCTTGGATGATGGATACATATTTTGTGAGCATTCTGAGATTTTTCTTGCAGTTCCTTAAAGTTTTGGCCTCCTCAATAGTGAGAGAAAGCAGCTTCTCAAGCACAACTTGAACAGTAGCACCAATTACTGGATCGGCCATTGTTATTTTTGCTCCTTCACAAAGTCGTCTTCTTTTGCTAGTTCACGGATAAAATCAGAGGACTGTTTCCAGTTACCTGAAAGCATAAA